TCCGGCGCGCGCGCGCGCGCGCTCGCAGTCTTGGCTGAGGCAAAAGTTGCGAGCCCGCGAAGGCGGCTGCCGCCTGGCCATCAGGTCCGATTCGATAAAAGATGGATGATCCAACGTCGGCCGTATAGTCGATCGGTCTCCGAGCTGACGCCTCCGAAGATGAAATGCACCCTTGGCGACCCCAGAACCGACCCTAACACCCTAAGCTCCCACGCGGCCCTCGCGCCCGCTCGCGATAGCACTTTGCCAACCGAAGGCATATTTACGAGAGAGGCGCGTGCCCCGCGTCGGAACGCGCCGCCGTTCCCGGGATATACGCGATTTGGCATACAAATTCCGCCATATGTAACCCGGAAAAATGTTTATTGGCTCGACTAAGGGTTATTAGGTCCGGCTTTCTAGTTGACCTACGCCGCCACGTAGCCAGTCGCCTCACGTAGCTACCATGAATTGGCTCCGCCGAGAGTCGCGTAGCGCCGAAAGTGAAAGTATAAGTCTTCTTTACAGCTCCGGACTCTGCTCTTGTGCTTTGCATGCCACGCGTGGCGCGCGTGGCTCGACGCCGTTTTCTCATCGAAAAGTTACGACGATAAAACAAGAGACATTACCGTAACGACGAAGAGGCATAACTCGACGCTACGTCGCGTCGCGACGCGCGAGTAATCCGGGGAACTTTGGGCCTGACATTCGCGCCGGCATGCGCGCCGCGAAACACGAAGGCGCAGCGCCAATACGAGGCGCGTTCAATCGAGCGCGCTCAAGAAATCGAATGTACAAACGATTTCAGAGCCGATTAAACGAACGGCGAACGGTTTTCGCAGGTTGGACGTTCGCTCGAGAAAACGGAGACGGCCGGAAATGAAGATCAACGCGTCAACGGCGGTCAACGCGTTAATTTACGCGCTCGCATTCCTTCTTCGTCGTTATGTTTCGCTTGTTTCGCGAGGCGGTCCCACATTTGTGGGACGACAGCGGCGAGCACGCTGTCGTACGTCGATGCACGTAGCCCATTTGCGCCGGCACGATGATAATTTACGATCTTCGGGAGAACGCGCCGCGGGACAGGCGGGGCAGATTTATAGGAATAGTCCAAGTGTAACAACGGCGAGGAAGGACACGAGTCGGAGGACGAAGGACCTCTCTCTCTCTCTCTCTCTCTCTCTCTCTCTCTCTCTCTCTCTCTCTCTCTCTCTCTCTCTCTCGTTTTCTCGCGGGCACGCACAGAGGCGACGGCGGCGACGGCGGCGGCGGCGGCGGCGGCGGCGGCGGCGGCGGTTCCGCGGTCGTACCGTGGCACAGCAGTACATTATTTCTTGATGTCAAATAAAGCAATTAGCATGTGCCCTGACCAGGGTCCGCAGGTTCTAACCCGAGTAATCTCGCCGGGGTCCCCGGCGTGTGCGACATCTTCATCAGAGAGGCGGACCCTCCTCTCTCTTCCTCGTTTCTCCGCCACTTTCCGCCACCGCCGCCCCTTGCGCCGGACGATGGCGCGGTCACGTGACTGCTCTGCACCCCCAGAGGACGAGGGACGCCGGATGCTGCGGAAGAGCGAGAGCGCGACACGCGGCGAGATGAAGACGCGGCGAGGACTCGGTTGCGGGGGCCGGCAGGAGGAAAAGGAATCGCGGAAGGGGCGATGGAATAAGGGGGGCGGGCGAGAGGAGGCCGTGTCCGCCGAGTGGCGGCGCTTCCAAGGGAAATTTCACAAAGGCTGACCCGCTGGTAATGAATGTTATATAACCCTTTTAATGCTTTAAGCCTCTTAGATTTTTCAGTACGCTCTCCGACAGTGCGCGCCTCCTTCGCCTCCCGTTCCACCTCCTTTCCTCCCGGAGCGGAGCGAGCCGGAGGTGATTCGCGACGAGCGACGGCGCGGGAGGACGAGGACGACGGCGGCGCGGTGGTGACGGTGCGGAGGGGTGCGAGGCGAGCGAGGGAAGTCGTGCCTCGGGGTAGGTAATTATGTGGCGGACGTAAATTAAGCTTGTTTAGATTGGGATTTTTATTAAGGTCCTTTATGAAAGAGTGCCGCCGCTAAATGGCGCACGGTATACACTCCGACACCGGTGGCTCCTTTAAACGCTGCCGCCGCCGCCGCCGCCGAGAGGAAGCCGCGAATAATGTTTCTACCTCGCGAGTGGCGCTCGCGATAATGAGACTCGCGAAAGCTGGATTCGCCGGAGATGCTCTCTCTCTCTCTCTCTCTCTCTCTCTCTCTCTCTCTCTCTGTCTCTTTACCTTTGCGCGGGAGAAATCCCGTTCCAACGTTAAAAATCCTCCGTTTGTAATCTGCCCGGGATACAAATGACGACGGCGCGGCGGTCGTAAAAGCAATTCGAGAGGAAACTTCGGACTCGCCGAATTTCCGCGGCGAGCGTCCCCAAAGAAACCGTAAGCAACAATCAGGGGCGGCATCCAGCAGCAGCGGCAGGGCGTACACGCACCGAGCAACACGGAACAAATAAGTAAGGATTAGTTTAATCGTGCTTTAGGAGTCGAACGTTACGGCTTTATGTCACCGTTCCCTTTGCCGAGGGTAAGAGAAAAGGCTGTGGCGTGTACGAGAGCGGGTTTACGAGCCGGCGATAGTGCGTAAAGAAGTGTGCGTTTCGACCAATATGGCGCCATTAGGAACGTACCGCTGTAACAGTGCTATAACAAATCTTGAGGAAAGTTTCCCGATGGATCTAATTTGAACAGCAAAATTATCTAGTTCCAGCTTCTAACCGCAGGTAACTCTTCGATGTGCTACCGAGTGAGACGTCAGTGTCTAAAAGGTGTTGCGAATTCCGCGCATCCTGTGAAACCGGATCGTCATTCTAGGACGGTATACTAATTAGCACACTAATCCCGAGTATCATCGACGTATGCGCGAGCGCGCAAAAATATTAGGCTTCCGAATGCGTATCGCTTTAATTTGCTCGACTCGTGTACATCGTGCGTCGACACGTTAATTCCGACATGTCCGTAACGAGCATAGCGTTACGTCAAACAGCTAACTGCTTTCGCACGAAGGCACTGGGAGCGAACTTCGGCAAGCAGTTCGCAGGTACGGACCGTTAGCTATACCCGATGTATATGTATGCCTCCGAGCCGGTGAGCGGAGAACGAAGTTCTCGGTGGAAGTTTAATTCAACTGGACGGGCAGCCGGGTGTAAACGCTGAATGATTTGTTGCAAATCGAAAGCATCTCCGCGCGAGCTCGAGCTCGAGCTCGCGCTCCGACTTCTCCTCGCCCGTACTTATCACGGTATATTTTACGCAACACTGTACCGCGCGATAACGAGGCATCGAGGTAACGCACACTGAGAGGAAAAATATTTAAGAGCCATAAAAGAAATATTTTTTCGGAAGGTGCTGACATCATACTCGCTCGAAACTACATTCTTTCATTCAAACGGAAGAGACGCATTTTCACGAAAAATCAAATGCAGAAAATGTATATTTTTTCTCCTTTGAAAATAATTTCTTCAAGCAAATATGTCATTACTACCGATATATACCGATTACACCGATTAAGTGTTTCTCTTATCGTTAAATATTTTCTCCCGATATTTAAGTGAGATCTTTTTTGACTTCCCTCCACATCTCTCGCGCTGCACGCCGTGTACTATGTTGTATAACATAACGAAGTAACGAACACGCGCCAAAGTTACGAAAGTTGTCCGACTACTTGAATATTACCGTGGGTGTATCGCACCCGCGTTCTCCCCAAACCTCGCGAGTCTCCCCACACTCCCGGCAATATTGATAAATTAATCAATAATAATTAGCGAGTGGCGCAGCCATTATCGCAGCCTGCGCGAACGTCTTTTCGCAGTGACGGTCGGCCGGTTGAGTATCGAACATCGAGATTCAACGTTGATTTTCCCAGGTAGTTCCGCGAGGTCAGGGGGGGGGCATGCTCGTTCGTTCTCTCGATTAGGCTTTGCCGTCATTAAAAGTTTATAAAGAAGCCGAGGTACGAGGCGGAGCAACGATGTGCGGGGCAGACGGGAGAAGGAGGTAGGTGGTGGCTCGGCACCCCCGGAACGAAGGTGGCGAAGGGGGAGTGGTAGAGTAGAGCGAGAAAGAGAGAGAGAGAGAGAGAGAGAGAGAGAGAGAGAGAGAGAGAGAGAAAGAAGAGTGAGAGAAAGAGAGTGGGATACTGAGAAGGAGAGAGCGAGAAATAGAAAGGGGGCCAGGGAGAGAAAGAGGGAGAGAGAGAGAGAGAGTGAGAGATTTCAAGCAAGTTTTCTCATGTGCAATGCATAATGAGGAAAGGCAGACGGCGCATAAAGGGCCTACAAATGAGGCTCAAGTTATACATGTACATTGCAAGCAAGTAACCAACACGGCGATGTGAACGACTCTCTCGACGTGACAAGTATCTTCGAGAGACTTCGCAGCTTTACATATTCGAGGAGAGGCGTATTCGCGCCTCTGAGGCGGAAGAAAGTGCCCGCCCCCACTCTCTCGTACGTTCCAGCGCGATTATCAGTTCACGAGCTGCACGCGGAGCTAATTTCATATCGAGGCGAGTCGATTGTCTCGCGTGATTACGGCCGACGATCGTGTTCAAATCGCCGCCCGACTGCAATCACCGGTCTGAGCCGTCTCGGCCAGAGTCGGAAAGCGCGACTTTTTCATACGTTCAACGTGATTTTCAGTACGCGAGTACCGTGCAAGGTGCGCGTGTAAGATTTCGTTGATCGGTCGGGCGCGCACACAGACATTGCGGTAACGGTAACTAAAGATACGAGCACGCAATGCGAGTCGCGGCGCACGAAAACCAATTAAAGGTGTTGGATCGATCCTCCCTGGTAACTGACTCGCGCTAGTCTCCTCGATGAAAGATGCAAATCGTCGCTCACGGCGCGATGTTCCTTTGCCCGATTATCCAGACCCGAGCGAATTCGCGCGGAGACGCGATCTTACGTTCCGAATAATCGCGAGCGAGTTTCTCGATATATATAATATCATTATTTCTACGTTACTACAAGATATTAAAGCCTTACCTTGTTCATGATTTGGCGGGGATACTCCCGCCTCGCGAGGGACGGCTCTGCAACAGCAAAGAGAAAAAGGTCGATTATTTTCTTTCTCAGACTTGCGTACAGACTCGTGCAATTAATATTCTCGTCGGATCGCGCCGAATGCTCTTAACGCAACGTAAACGGCGACGCGCGAGCGTCGCCCAGTCCGCGTCCGTGGTAAAATAAAAGGTCATGAGCGAAAATGTAGAGAGCCCCCAAGCCCCGCGCGAAGGAGCGCTCTCTTTCTCCGCATTCTCAACCCTCAACCCTTCAGCCGCGCCTTGTGACGCAGGCTAATGCACGTGGGGTGGTCCTTGATCGCGCAGCCAAGCCCCGGCTCTTCCTCTCCTTTCCCTTCGACGGGTACCACCAAATTCCCATAATCTAATGAATGGCCTAACCCCAATATCCTCTCGGTTCAGCCTCACCGCCGCCCACCCTCCATGTACTACCCTGTATGTACTACCACGCATGTAAATATCCCCGCTGCCCGAACGCTGCGCGCTTACATACCTATGTACGCGTACTTTGAGTTCCTTAAAATTCTGCGAGCCTCTGGCTATAATTAATTATTCCAGCGCAATCGCGACTATTACGACTACGTCATCCGTAATTTCCGCGCGAGTCTCTGCGTGACGTCACTCGCGCGCGCGCGCGCGCGCGACGCGCTCTTCGACTCGTACTCGGAAACGCAACGGGGAGGGGGAGCTTATGGAGAACAGAAAAAAGCACAGCGCGACGTAACGACTCGTGCGCGATGACAATTGACTTCGTTCTTCCGCATTTGAGCGAGCGAGCGACGAGTAATTCCCCACCGCCGCGCCGGCATCCCCCTCCCCCCCCCGTATGAGCGCAAGAAATATGAAGAGGGACTCGCGCGCGGACTCGGCTAATTGCGTGTTAAACGGGGGGTGAAGTCGACGGGCAGAAATTCTTCCGTCCAGAAAATGGATCGTGCGCGAGCCGACGTTGATCCCACGGCCGAGGCGAGGAGGGACGCGGGCTAAGGACGCGCAAATGTGTTTATCTCGGGGAATAATAAAAAGGGTGGGCCCGACGCAGCCGCGCCGCGCCGGACGATCGCGCGGCGCGGCGAAGTCGGGAATAATGTCTCGGACACGAGGCTCGTCTGCGGATTTAGCCCGGCCTCCGCTGCGAGCCAACCGACCACCCACCCACACTTCAGCCCCCCTCCCCCTCTTTCGACCTCCTAGCCGACCTACCCTTATACGCGTGTCCGCCGCAGATTCAGACTCCTAATTAAGACGAGGGTGCGAGAGGGGTTTCAGGGGTTTCTGCCGGGTTCTCCCCCGAGGGGGCGGGGGTCGGAGGTAGAGGAGCAGGAGGAGGAGGAGGAGGACGGGGTGTAGGGTGGCGGGTGTGTGGGTAGAAGGAGGGTTTTCCCGAGGTAAGGGGCACCCGTATCGTGCCGGAGGGGTAAGCCAAGGCAAAGGGGGTAAGGAATATTGATCACGGGACCACCACGGCGCGGCGAGGCAGGGACTGCCCGCACTCGCCCTCTGCTCTCATCCGCCCTCCCCTTCGTCCTCCGACTCCAGCTTTCTCTCTCGTCTCACTCTCACCCCGACTGTCTCTCACCTTCTCCCTCGGCCTGCCCGACGTCTTTCGCCCGATTCTCTCTCACTCCTCCGCGCCGTCTGTGTGTGTCTCTCTCTCTCTCTCTCTCTCTCTCTCTCTCTCTCTCTCTCTCTCTCTCTCTCTCTCTCTCTCTCTCTCTCTCTCTCTCTCTCTCTCTCTCTCTCTTTCTCCGGAGCCGACACGGACCGGGCCAGACTAAACCACCAAACGCCAGATGCGTGAAATCAGTCGGTTAGAACCTGCCCCGCAGCCTTTGCAAATTATTGACGCTGAAACCGCGAGGCAGATGATGCTTGCGCGCTGTTTCAAGGTAGAGTTTGAATGAAGAGAGAGAGAGAGAGAGAGAGAGAGAGGAGGGAGGGGGAGTGAGAGAATGCGGTCGAGCGCGAAGCGCTCCTCGCTCGCGGGAGGACAGGGTGAAAGCAGGAACTTCTTCCTCGTCTTCGTGTAGTCGCGCCGGCAATTATTCCGCTCGATCGAGTCCGGCGATGCGTACGTAGTAATGATTTCTTTTCTTTCGCAATTTGAGCTCATGTATCTCCCTCCCACGTCGACGTTCGCGTCGCCACGAATTCGTCGATTTTGCGCGACGGAGGTATCGTATCTCTTCGTCGTCTAATCGAGTGTCTCGCCAAGTTTGCCGAGGCAGGTCTCCTCGCGACGAGGTTTCACGAAAGTCGCAATAAGACATGGGCCTCTGCGAGGGAATTTCTGGAACTCTGGAAATCCGAGTGACCTGACGAATTTTGAGAGCGCACACGCTCGGCCGAACAAGATCTACGCTCCAGACGTGTGCAGCGTTCTCACGAGTTTGAGAGAGAGAGAGAGAGAGAGAGAGGGAGGGAGGGAGGGAGAGAGAGATACTCTCGAACGGCGAAGAGAAGGAGCGGCCGACTCGACTCGTCTCAAAGACGGCGATAGAACACGGGGGAGAGCACAGGAGCGAGCGAGAGGGGCGGGGGTGGCGAGGGGCAACGGGTGAGCTCGAGTTTACACGACGTAGCGACTCGTCTTTCTACCCGTCGCCCTGCCTTAATTAAATCTCTAGACCCTTCCTGGAAGAACCCGCGGACCTGGCGGGAAACTAGAAGAACCGCCTCCTCTTCTCGCTGTCTACAATTCACTGCGGTAACACGTCGTCTTCCATTGGTCCTCGGCACGTTGCCGCGAGGAATGCGCAAACTTGCCGGCCGCGCTTTCTTCGCGCCGTCTGTTTATCTCGTCCTTATCGGGCCGTTTCGCCTTATCGGCCGCGCGCGCGGGAACATCGCATTCCGCGGATTAGTCCATTTTTGCGAGCTATCTCGCGCCGTAAAACGCCTCATCGCCGTCGAAGCGGCACAGCACCACCGGGAGCCATCCTCGTGTGAAATGCAGATTTTTTTCCCGAGCCAGGCTCGATTTGGAGAAAGCAGGACTCTGGAACCGCGTTGAACACACGAAGGAGCGGGGCGGCTAGTTTCACGACGGAGATTTTTGGCCGGGCGAAAATTGTTTCCATTCTGCGAGTTCAATGCTCGCGGGAGAGGACGAGCAGGGCCGCGCACGCGGACGAATTTCCACGGCGCGCAACGTATTTTCTCGTGCGCTCCGCCGAACCATTCCGGTGGCTTCAGATACCGTTATTCGGCGTTGTAACGAACGTCAAGGGCGACCTCGACGAGACCGGAAGAGACCTCATTGTCCAGAGGCGGGGGCTCCGATAGGAGGGTGCCGCAGCAGCGGCAGGCAGCCAACTCAAACTTTGATATGGTTTCCTAAATAACCAAGGCGACCGATACCGCAGCACGATAGTCCTCCTTGCTCCACCGCCTTCTCTCGCTCGCCTCTCCACCCTCCTCCCTCCGCTCCCTTCCGCCCTGCTCACCGCCTAGACCGATCTGCGGTGGTCCGGAGAGGGTGCTCTCCGGTAACTACTGCCGAAGCATATTGAAACCCTCGCACCAACGGTGACCCGACTCGCCACCCCGGCCAAGCCGACCACCCCCGCGACCCGCCGTTCAGAACCGATACAGGCTGCCGTCGTCCATGCAAAACCTCCGGCGCGAGTGCGTTTGTCGTTTCGTGAGTAAACGTTAGTGAACGCGCGGCGCAAGCCGACGCCGACGCCGACGCCGCCACCGACGTTTTCATAGCGTCGACGGGCAGCGGTTAATTCGGGCGCGGAGTGACAGGTAATCTGCAAGAGAACCGCCAACGACGACGGCGAAAAAAGAGCGCGTTCGGCGCCGGCGCCGGCGCCGATCGCGCAAGGGGTTGTCCGAGTCGAATGTCGTAACTCGGGTTGTGAGGGTTACGTCAACGCAGACGTTTGCGACAGATATGTGGTTGGATGTGCGCAGGATAAAAATGAGGTCGCGGAAAAGCATGGTCGAAGAAACGAAGGGAAACTGCGTTTTCCTCCCTCTCTCTCTCTCTCTCTCTCTCTACGTCCACATTCGAATTTTTAACGATCTCACAATGACAGCGGCGTGGCCCAATCAGCAATTCCCTCGGCCTTCGAGAATTCTAACGGGTTCGCCGTCTAAAAGAGATCTGAAAGAGATAATAGTTGCGGAGGAGTGAAAGGGAGAGGTAGCGCGTAGAAGTAGCGCGGTCTATTTCACAATATCTTCCTCGCAGGCCACACCGATAGACGCGATCCCTGTATCCCGCAGCCGGTTCTGTTTGTCCGCTAATTAGAAGCTAACAGCAGAACTAAAGTTTCGAACTTTAAAGTTTCTTGCACTCGCGGAAGCCTCTTGCTATCCATTCAATATCCCCGTCCGGAGGAGGCTGGAGAGAGGCAGCCCTTTGTGGGGGAACGTCTTTCCCACCTGCACATCCGTCCACCTGTCCTCTTCTTCTCCCCCCCCCCTCTCTCTATATATATATATTGTATATATATATTGTATATATATATATATATTGTATATATTGCGTTGCTCCGGCTACCGGCTAGCGTTAATTACTAATTAATTGTTTCGCGTGTTTGAGTTTTAAATGGATAAGTTAAACAGCGCGTAAGAGCCCCCGACGTGTAAGGTGGTGGCGGCAGCGGCAGTCCACCCTTCTTTTTCCCTCCGTCCGTTCCTCTCGCTTCGCGTACGATTACCGTACAAACAGTGTACTGCCGGTTAACGAGGTTAGGATGACCGTGTTAGGGGTGGGAGTCGGGGGGAGAGGGGGGGAGCAGCGCTCGTTCGTTTATTCGTTTTTCACCCCCGTCATCAGGACGACGCGCCTCACGACGTAATATCTCCATCACGAGGCTGAGCCGTCAAGCGGCGCGTTTAAAGTTCGCTCCCCGGCTCCGACGGCTGCGGACGTAGCCTCGACGACAACGGCGACGTCGCTCGTCGAGAATCCGCGGACACTTCGCATAATCGCATGACTCGAGACGGAGTTACGTAACAATCACGCGCGTTGAATTTGGCGCTGAATCGCGACG